AATGAAAGCACGTGAGAACGAATTAGATACATGAGCTTTTTGGAAAGTGTCTAGAAATCATCCCAACTATACGGGGAGTGAGGTTTTCATGATTCTGTTTGTCATTCTAGTCCCATAGAGGTAAAGGCACAGAGAAACTGAGCTGTGTGACTTGAGAAACTTGCTTGAATTTTCATAGCAACTTTATCCTTTCCCTTGAGTCATGGCAAGAAGGTAACTCCCAAAGGATAGGTGAGGTGAAGGGTGTTCTCTGTGTACGGAGAGTATATACATGAGGGAGGAAGAGGTGATTTGACTTTGTCACTTAACCCCTTCGTTTCAATTTTCTTATCACGAAACAGTTATATTGTAATATTTTAATGGAAGAAGACAATTCTGAGTCAGATTGGCACAGAATAGAAATGTCAGTAACCTTTCTGCACAGAGCCAGTCACAGATTCGAGTGTTTTCTAAATGTCAGTTGTTTACCCCATGTACTGTGAGTGAAACGTGCCTGCCCCGAGGAGCTGCAATCTGGAGTGCAGTTTTCATCTCTTCTGTTTAATAATCTCCCTGTGCCCCAGGTCTGTCGAGTGCTGACTGTCTTCTATCTTTTGCCAAATGAAATAAGTCAGCTGAATCAAGAAATACCAGAGTAAGGCTCATGGCTGCAAGCAAAAAGGCTGGAAAAGGAAGGCATTACCAAGAGGCTGTGTTTTGGAATTGATGGTAAAACAAGCTGAGTGAGATGCTAAACTCGAGGCTCTTAGATGCATGCAAAAAAAATCCTCATTGTCGAAAATCTCAATTATTTTGTTGTGTACATGTCTTTACTGCAAGGACTTATTTGGGAATATCTTGCGATATTAAAGTGCTCATGTGATGTTCTATAAGTTTCTCTGCCTGAAATATTGCCTGATTTTGTGTAAGAGGAATCAGCTGGCCTCCTGATACATTTATGTGGGGATCACAACTGATGGACTGGTGGTGGGGCACATACATCATTGCAGTGGGGAGCAGGGGACTCACCCTTTCCTCTCCACACAGGGCTCTACCTTGGTTCTTTCTAATGCTTTGGTGGAGTGGGTGGTGAGTGAACTGTTACACTGGAAGGTGAATTCACTTCCAGGTTAGTCTCATTTTTCAGATGGTACCTTTTTCCTTCATAGATCCAGGACCCACTTGTCACACATACTCAGAAAGTAAAAGACCCAAATGGCCCTCTGTTCAGTAGAGGCTGCTCCCCAGCTCCTTGTCTAAGTCCTTCCTAAACTATCCATCTTTTAAGTTTACCAGGTTCAAGTGTTTCCAATGTCTATGTATAAAACAAAAATAAAATGTGTTTATAAAATTAAGAGGGTGCCTGATTTTTATATAGCTCAGGTATACATTTAAAGATATTTAGATGGAGTTATCCTTTGGGTAAATTTAAGAAAACTGAATGGTTTTACTCTCCATTACTAACTTTCATTAAATATATATGAAATTAGCAAGTCTCTGCTTCCATGGCTATAAAGCTACACATTTTGCTCCACAAAATTGTATTTGTATGGTGCAAGATTTCTGTGATAAAGATTCTGCTTCCAAGATTCCAAGGCAACTGTTTTATAAAATACCCTAAGAATGAATCATATGAAAGATCAAAGACCCCAAAATAAGTTCATGTAAGAAAGATAGTAGGGAGATAGAGAGAGGGCTTGGGTGGTAAAATATGTTTGCTGCATAAATGTATGGACCCAAGCTCACATCTCCAGAGTCCATGTAACCGTTGGAGACATAACATCCCACCTCTCTCATGGGAAGATGGTAGAGAGAAGAGAATCCCAGAGGCCAGACACCCTGCTGTATGTAGCAGAAGAGCTCTAAAGAAACCCTGTCTTAAATAAGACAAAAAAGAAGACAAACATGAGGCTTTTCACTGACCTCCATACATGCGAACGTTTCGTGTACATGCCCGTAATATCTCATATGAAGGCACATCACATCCACATGAGCACACACCACACAGGTATTAGATATTCAACGATAGACCATTTCTCCATTGAATTGTCAAAAAGCTTTTAAACTTGCACTTCAGTTTATATATTTTCAGGACCAGTGACAGTTTGCAGGGTGTATCATTCTGTGGACCACCCCGGGAGTGGCAGGATTTAGTTTTAGGTTACAGCTCCATTGTGAAGACCAAATCAACAGCAGGGTGTTTATAACTTTCTGTATTTACAATAGTTCTGTAGCTTCACTCACCATGATAATCCCTCAAAGCAGAGATTTTTAACAGAATTATAACACAATTAAAATTCTCTAGCAGCCACATGGAAACAGAAAGAATGAAAAATAAATTTTACTAATACATTTTATTTGATGTGGTTTATTTAAGAAAAACATATTCTTACATGAAATTTCTTTTTTTAGGAAGGTTTTGAAATTTAGTGTTTTGTTATGCATATAGTGTATGCATTCAGGTGACCTGCATTTCAAATGATGGATAACCACCTGAGACCAGTGTCTACTAGTCAGTGTCTACTACTGTTAGACAAAGTACTGCCTATCTCTGACTGGGTTGTTCTAGAGCAATGATACACACACACACACACACACACACACACACACACACACACACACAC